CTATTTATTACTGATTATTTAAAAAAAAAATTTCGAAAATCTATATAACATAATTTGGATCCCTATGATTAGTCTAAATATAATTAAAAAAAAATTCCACAACATTTTACTCATAATTTTTTTTTAAACAGCAATTTTGACTTAATGCATAATCTTTGTTTCCCATAATTCTTTTTTTCAACTATCTGATTTAAAAATTTGAAAAATATTTAAAAGATAAAGGTGAATATCATAAGACTTTGCAAAAAAAAAAATTAAATATCAAGTTGTCGTTGGTCTAACAGTCTAGAATATTGTAATCAACTTAAAATCAACTCAAAAGTTTGTTATTTGTTTCACTTCCTTTAATTGTTCCTATTTTTTTAGTGCTGTAATCGACTCAAAATCTTATTAATGTCCTATTTACTAATAAAAATTAAAGCTAAATGCATTTAAGGGTGTCCACATAGGATTAAAAGGACAATTCTATTGGTCCATATCAACATTCAAAATTAAGAAAGTTTCCACGAATTAATATTATTATTAATAAAAAATATATAAAAGAATAAAGAAATTATGTATTAAATATCTATTAACAACAAAAAACTAAAATAATATTAAATTAAAATATTTTTTTTAAAATACAAATTTACTTAGATATAAAATAATATGCAATCAATTAAAGAAGGAACGTAAATTTTAAAATTATTTTCCAGTTTTCTTATAAAACTGATATAAAAAGAATGAAATTGAAGATGATGAAATATATTATTTTCTTTTATTAGATAAAAAAATATATAATAATTTTTCGTGTCAATATTATTTTTATAAAATAATAATTAATTATTTTGTTATTGTTTTAAGTTATCTTTTAAGTATACTAACCTACAAACATTAGAAGAATTTAAAAATATTTATATAAGTTGAAATTATAAAACAAAATAAAATAATATTTACTATAACATAAAAAAACAACACATATATTAATATGTGGAGATAATTGGTGGTTTAAACATAATTAAGGGTGATAATAATTAATAAGTTTGTGAAATCTATTTTAATATATATCAAAAATTTTAACTAAATAGTTTATTGAAAGGTAATTAAATGCTATCAAGTATACTTTGTACTCATTAAAACAGTAAAATAAGGAGAAATGTTTTGCCTTTTTGGTTGTCAATACAAAAATCATTTAAAAGTTATCACACACAATATGTACTCGACAAAACGTTTAGTATTTAACAATTTAAGATAAAGTTGACTAAAATTTATATTGAATTTATCAATCTTTGTGATTTGAAATTAGTTTGAAATTTTATTTTATATTTATTTACTGAAAATATATGAAAGCAAAAATTGTGTTTATTAGTTTATTTTAAATTTAGAATAAATCATAAATTTGTATTGACTAAACTAGCTAGGGAAAAAGAATAATTTTAATTTTTATCATTTTTATTTTCATAAAAAGCATACATAACAAGGATGCAACTAATGAAAAAAAACTTATTTTTTTGATTAATAAGTGATGTATAGTACTTTATCTTCGTGTTAATACTAACTAAGTACTATATAATTAGTTTGTTATATTTTGGATTAATTTTGGTATATAAAATGTTAAGCGTTCAACAAATAATATGCTTTTTCAACGACACATATATAAATACAAAAAAGATCGTTGAAACCTCAAAATCTATATATAAATTTTGAGATTAAAACTGAATTACTTTTGATAAATTTTTTTACAATAAAATAACATCTAAATAAATTTAGCTGCATAAATATGATTTCTATCAATATGATAGCATTAAAAAAAACTATCCACGCGTAGCGTGGATGCAAAATCTAGTCATTATATTATATGTCAAGTCTTAATCTGATGTGTCATGCTCATAGCGATTCTTGGAAAAAATAATGATGTGTCTTATTATTATTCGTTTAACTTGATTACGTGTCATTTTCACTTAAATCAAAACGAGAATTTTCGTT